TCACTGTTCTCTTTCCGTTTCACCATTAAAGCTATTTCGTAATGGATTACTTGCTTGAAACTAGTATTCCTTGATTCGGAAATTGTCAATAAAATTACCAAAGAAGATAGTCATTCCGCTTTCTATTTAAACCAAAATGGCTTGATTATACCATTAGAACAAATCTCATAGCTCAACATTGTGGACTGATCAGCACATTTTGTTGACTAGGGACTTTGTACAAATTTTTCACTTCTGTTGTTTTGTTTAGCACAATAAACAATTTTCCTACACTTTACTTGACATATATACATTTATGTGCATTTTTAAAAGACCATCTGTCTTCAAGTCAGCTATATATATAAATTTATTTCTATTAATTACTTTCATAATTTGTTGCTAAGTATGACAGTCTTGGATATTAAATTTTCCAGCTTTACCCCAGACATATATAACTACAGTTTCCTATATTATCGTCATTCAAGCTTGCAATATATAAGTATGTAGATTCATAAAACATGACTACTTTACTCCGCACCTTTTGCGCTTGATAATTTTGTGATCATTTTATTGATCAGTCTTGTATCATAGTATGTCTTTAGGAAAAGTAAGGAAGAAGTTATTCATAAATAACAAAAAATCATTGTGTAAATAAATTGTTTCGAGTTTTCCACCTAAATTCCATCCATTTTGCTCATCTTAAATTGCTGGTCGAAAAACGTCTTTTTCAGAATTGTAACGCGGCTCTTCTTGTGTGACATTAACTTAACTATCATTCCCCCTAATGGTTTTTGGTTGAAGATGATGTCTTTAAAGTCTGTGAGTGTTAATATTTTGATTCATACCTAGTGTGGATACCGTATTATTTTATGAATGAAGGCAGAACTTAAGAGACAATACTTTACTGCACTGCAAAATGTTATATGTTACTAGAGAAGCTGTCGTCGAAAATGGCTAAGCATATCTGGGATTTGCAAGAAAACGTTTTAGTTGTTGGATCACTCAAGATAACCATAATAAGCTGTGGACTAAGGGTTAAAAATTTTGGAACTTATACTTACTTACTTATGCCTGTCACCCCTCGAGAGGGCATAGGTCACAGACCAGGATTTTCCAACCGCCATAGGCTGTCCTTTCCAGTCTTTTCTAGTTGCTATTCATCATTTTGATATCTGTTTCAAGTTCCCGGCTGTGTGTTCTTTGATCTGCCACTTTTCCATTTCTTTTCGGCATTCAAATGCAGGGCTTGCCTAATGATACAGGTTGATCATTCATTCAATGTATATTATATCCACCTCCAGCATCCTTTCTTAATTCCCTCTTCAACTGGAAGTTGATTTGTTCCCTCCCATAGTAGGCTATTTCTGACGGTATCTGGCCAACGGATCTGCAGTATCTTGCGTAGATAACTGTTTATAAATACCTGTATATTTCGATGAAGGTTGTGGTTGTTCTTCAAATTTCAGCGCCGTACAGCAGAACTGTCTTGACGTTTACATTGTAGATTCTGACTTTGATGTTATCTAACAGTTGTATTGGGCTCTGTATGTTCTCCAGTTGTGGGAATGTTTCCCTCGCTTCAGCAACCCATGCCTTTATATCTTTATCAGATTCTCCTTATTTATCGATGGTGCTGTCCAGGTACATAAAGCATTCCACCTCTTTCTGAGTTTCTCCATCAAGATTGATTTGACTGATGTTCACTGTATTGTATTACAGGATCTTGTTTTTTCCCTTATGTATATTGAGGCGCACTGCTGCTATACTGGCTGCCTTCACCTGAATTTGTTGCGGTGTATGGGATAGAAGAGCTAGGTCATCTGAGGAGTCCAGATCGTCTAGTTGCATCCAAGTTGTCCATTGCATTCCTTGCTTCGTCTGAAATGTGTAGGTCTTCATAATCCAGTTAACTATCAGAAGAAAGAGGAGGAGTGAGAGTAATCATCCTCGTTTGATACCGGTCTTCACTTGGAATATATCTGTCAGCTGCTCTCCATACGTGACCATGCAGTGTAGTTCGCAATATAAATTCAGTATGATGATGGAACTGGTGTTCATGGGATATCTCGTCTTAAACTAAATAATGTTAACAAAGTCTCAACCAAACTGTTGTGAAAATGATATGCTCACAATAATCATTTGCAAAGCATTAACCAACTTCATTTTGGTTAGTCTTTAGAAATGATCTAGCTTCATCAATAAAGTTCGTTATATAGCCACCTGGTTGAGTAAATCATCGTTTCAGTTCACCTTCTTTGTTGCTCACTAAAAGTAATCTGAGGAACTCCAGGAACATAGTTTTTCAAATATTTAGATTTTAAAAACAAAGCTCACCTTTGCACATGTTTCGTAAACGAGTTAGAGCCCTATTACCCTCTTATATGGTAATAAGAGTAACATACATTAGGACAGTACAAAATGACTACTCATCAACTAGTTTCTAGCGCTATTGCGTTTACAATTGTCATGCAGTCATAGTTGGAAATGTGCAAATTGCAAACTAACAGTAGGTACTGAAAGACTAAATCACTTATTTTATCATATTGGTCACTTTTGATTATATAAGTATGGTCATTGTCTGTCATGTGGTTAATGTAGATTCACCTCTTTTAGCCTTTAGTTTTTGCAGATTACATAAAATCTGTATTGAAGTACTCTGAGGAATATATAAGCCACAAAAACAACCTAACAAAATAAATACATTTTATTGTTTACTTAACAGCATCTCTCTCGACCGAATGTAATCACGAGCTATTCATATTCACAGTCAAATGATAATAACTTTGTTGTTATCTGGAACCCTCTATTGGCGATCATACGAACAATTATATACGCAATTACTGTTCAATATATGCCATAAAAACCATTTAAATAGAACAAAATGAATAATATGATGAATATGTCCTTGGCATTTTATATCACATGGAACCCTTCAAGTAGCGTGTTGTAGTTTTCTGTTACATGTAATTTGTTGGTAATTATTTCTGTTTCGTTCATCAGACTGTCTCGAGAAATGAGTTGTTTATGGACTTTCGCAATATGTATAGTATGGCAAGTGAATGCATACTATCTACTTTTACAAATAACATGTATGGTGTCCTAATCAACTGCTTACTGACATATTAACTATAATGTTGGTATCACTTCCTAAAATATGCAAATGCACAGTGGCTGTTTACATGAAATCCTTTCGTTATTCGAACCTGTCACTGAGAATCACACAAGATTTCCTTTTAGTACTACTAGAACTGATCTGGTGCAGCCTTAATGTTAAAATTCAAATTATGGAGGTTTACAATTGTTATATATTTGGCAAATCTAACTTATGTACTGAAGCTAGTGTAATCGCTATGAATTATCAACCGATATTATGCATAAGCGTGTACCAACTTAATTCAATAAAAACTCTGGATAAGTGAATTAATTTTATTTCATTTTTTTTGTTTACTGAAATGAAGATAAGTAGATATAGAAATAAAAAGGAAAAGACTTGGACAACTAAGTAATCACAACTCATTTAAAAAGTAAAAAAAATTGCAGTTATAAAGAAATTTTTCAGTCACTAAGAAATAATAATTATGAGGAAAATACAATGTATGAAATAATATGTAGCGTAGAACATTGATGTAGTACAATAGTAGTCAAAGAAGACAAATAATAATAAAATTCCGATCAGAAAATACTATAGATTATACCTTCAAAGAAAATAAAAAACAAACCATTCAAATAAGAATGATGTTTCTCAACATAATAAAGAGAAATGGTAACAAACTTTCACAGACGTCAAGTGAACTGATAGGTACACTTCGAAAATACGTATGTATGAGAATACGAGAATCAAAATGCTACAAAGATATTTGTTGGTTTAACATTATATGGTTACTGGTTAAAACATATCACATGCTTGATTATAAATAGCATAATACTATTAAAATTACTAGTTAAGTTTGACAAAAGCAAACAGATCAACAAACCAACTAACGAACGAATAAATGGAGCAGAAGAAACCTATATTTCACTCAACTCATTTCAACCAAAACAAAATGGACGTATACACAACTCTGCCTTTCTTGGAGAAAAATGTTACCTTATTTATTTTTTGCAGAAAGCATATATAACAAGGCATCATTAGTAAATGTTTAGGCATTCAGCGTATTTGATTATTTCAGTAGAAATAATAATAGAAATAGGTAGGTGTTAGAAAATGAAGAGAATAAGTTATAGGAAAGTTATTTTTATCCCACCAGGCATGTGCATGTTTTTAAATGCAAATTATTAGAATTTTAAGAGATAACAAAAGAAACTAAAATCCGTACCATCATTGTCATCATCAAAAACAGAATTTAAATTTTATGTATAAAAACATAAGTAGACATACATGAGCACATACTTGTAAAGTGATATACACAAACAGTGTTAGAAGTAGCAGAAAGTGGCAACAGTAGCAATAATCAGTCACATTTCAAAATTGGAGTGCATGCACCAAACACAAAGATGTACTTAACACTAAACAAAAGGTACCTGAAATGTGTGCTTTTTGTTTCGTTGGAAGTCATCAACTCTCAACAGTAAGATATGCAAGCAAACTGAGTAGACGGACAAGCAACAGGTGTTGCTTTGTGCATTTCATATATTACATTCACAAGAAATTGCCTCCGATATACTTTGATTTTTCATATGTACCTTCCTTTCCACACATTCTGGATATTCAGCATAACCTAATAATACCAATCAATCACGGCAGGTAAAAAAAGACCCCCAATCTCAAAGGGAGAATAAATTACTGCTTTTTGTAAGCTAGTCAATCTATCCTATTTATGCGTCGAATCAATTTCTTTAGACGAGCAATGCACACCAAAACTAACAGGAAATAAATAAGGGCAAATAAACACGAGCAGATGATTATAACTGTATAAAATGAGCTTTACAACTAATAATCAATATTAGCAGAAGTGCATTCCACCTAATAAGGCTAGCTATATAACGAAAACGAACAAAGGCTGATGGAAGTACATTCGATTTTAATAAGGCGAGAAACGTTGATAGCTTGAGTTAGTTCGATATATTGCAGGTGTAGTGACCACTGCATTGTTTATTGCATAGCCCGCTGCAAGTCTATTTAGATAAGGGTCCATACTAGCTGCTGCGGCAGCTGCTGCATTTAAATCCGGTAAATAACTGGAATCGAAAATAATGCAACATTTTATAACATCACACATTTTTATTTTAAAGACACTTCAATAGAATAGGTTAGACAAAATTATACAGAACCATTGAGACGTTAACTTGTATACTCAACAACGTAGGTAATTTGAAGATTATGAGACAGTATATAAGCCACTAACCAGTTATTAAGTCAGTTCATTAAACACCACAGCATTAAGTATTTATTATTGAGTTATTGTGATTATTAAACAAATTCCCACCAGCGGATATTTGAATTTGAGAAAAGTAAGTTTTCTATTATTTCTAAGCGAATCATTTTAATAATTATTATATTTTCGTTATATCCCAATGAGTAGAAGATTGTATTTCTGACGTTTCATGACTTAATGTAAACCACTTCTTCAGAGAAAATAAATGACCGACACGGTTAGTCATTTACTCTGAAGAAGTGGTTTTTATTAAGTCGTGAAACGTCAGAAATACAATCTTCTACTCATTGGGATATCACAAAATATATATTTATCATTAACTTTCTAACCAATGCTCAATTTATTTAAAAATATCAAGCCCAACCTTGGCAGTGATATCCACAAATATTTCTAGTTAGTGCCTACTAAGAAGAAATGTGCTTTGAGGTTCATCTTCCAATCAAATTCGACCATTCAACACTAAACTAAACGGGTTATAGTTAATAAGCACTTACTCTAGTGGCGCAAATAACCTGACAGTTGAAACTGTTCTTCTACCATTTGGGTCATTAAACAATAACATATGTCAGTGCATCACACTCATGATAAAATGAACTTCAGATAAAGTTTCTCTTTTGATGAGTTATAAAACAGTAGAGTTCCAAGTGAAAAGTTTCAGTAAGACATTATTTGGATCACTGTATCACCAATTTCCTAAATATTTTACATTTTTCCGAAGGTAGGACTAGGAATAAACAACATGACATTATCTGTAGAAGAGTCATGATCTTTGCTTCGACTTGATACACAGATGCACCTCCTATAAGTAGTAAAAGAGTATAGGTTTAATAGCCTGCAATTTTCATTGAAATTATGAACTGATCAATGTTAGGCCACCAGTGAAAACCTGGGAACACTAGACGGCCTTTTTGTCGTAGTATGGGATTCCTTAGCAATGCGCATCCACAACCCCACAGGTGGGAATCGATTTCGCTAATTTGATTTTCATAAAACGATGATCTGAAAATTTCAAAGTAGTAGATCTGAGTAGGAAATGCCTTTAACAGAAACTTAATTCAAACGTCCTTGATAAAACTTCTGTGTGTCAGATTGGTCACCTAGACTGATAGTTCTAATTACGTTCTCAGGACCAGTTATGGGTAAAAGCTGTTATGAAATAGGAAATAAGCCTAATCAGTCAACTCAGTTTTTAACCAATGTATAACTGACAATAAATTGTGTTAGCAAATAATGTCGCCGTTTAAAAACACCCCTATTTTGTCAAAAATCAACAAGAAAGTGTGACATTGAAAGATATCAGTATCACTTTATAGTTGAATATCGAGAATTGGTGTAATATTTTTGTTATATTGTATTTGCAAATGATAAATGATGGCAGTTAGGTTTACGATGAGATAATTTACTTTCACAAACCAGTTTAGTCTACAACCACTAAGCATCAACTTTTGTCGTTTCTTTTGGTTTGATCCAGCCTATCTGACTGAATTTAAAGACTACAATTCGTTGATAAAACAACATACTTCATATTGCTGGTATTGGAGAATATATAAATAAACCAGTAAACCTTGAACCAAAGCCTTTCAAATCAGTGTTAACTAATGATCTGCATAATAATAAGACATTTAAACAGTATAACGAACGCCTGATTTGAAACCATATACTTACGACATCACTGTTGGACTAACTGATGTTTGTGCGGGAAAATGTTGAGAAGCTACAGCTGCAGCTGCCGCAGCTGCAGCAGCAATTGCAGGTTGATTTGTTCCAGAAAGTGAGGCCTGGACCACTCCTGGTGTATTTGACCCACTGACTGCGACTTGACTGGCAGAAATTGAGGTATGAGCACCATTTGCCTGAATTTGTACAGCAGTAGCATTCTGAGAACCGGAAGCTGAACTAACAAGTACATTTGAGTTGCTTGTGACAGATCTGTTAGACGTTAAATTAGTGGCATTAAACGAATTCGTTGAGTTTGAGAAAGCCCTCAACATATTTGCAGCTACAGCTGCAGCTGCTTGAGAAGGTGAAAAGGCTCCACACAATCCAACTGGATTCCCTGAAATCGACCCCGTCAAGTTTTCGATCGTATTCGTGGCAGGAAGACTTACAGGAGTAAAACCAGCAGCTACCGCCGCTGCTAGAGCCCTTTGGTTTGCTTGAATCTGTTGCTGTTGCTGTTGGATACGATGCTGTAACTCTAGTTCAACACCCATATTTGAACTAGGATCAAACCACTGAACCTATTAAAGTAACGGAGAGACATATATAAGATTCGTAGTTCATAAACAGAAATAAAAATAAAAAATCTATTATTGAAAATTTAAGATTTCCTCTTTTACGGTATAATATAAATTTAACTATTATCAACAGCTGGTGTCGTTTGAAGAACAGGAGTAGAAAATGGTTAGTGGATATATATTATGTTATAGTTCCAACTCCTAACGACTACGTATATAACTATATATATAACTGAATCAGTTCGGACACAAATATATATCGCCGTATAGACAGCATGAATTAATAAACATAACACATTTACAACCAGTGGTATAAATACCAGACTGTACACGTTTTTAAGTGAAATTATGTTGATTAGTGTCATTTGATTTTACTTGGCGCTTGTCTGAATCATTATTATTATAGTAAGGGATGGATTGCTTACCAGTGGTGTATGACCATTCGGTCCTAAAAGAGTTCCCGTTTGGGGGAACATTGCCATAGCAGCCAAGGAATTTGTCAAACCGGGTGCTTGAGACGGTGATCCAAACGTTTGGATGGCGGTTGATGGTGTACTCCCACTAACGGGCCCATTATTGGTCCCAAGGCATCCAGGACTTGGACTTCCAATCCCTCCGAACGCTGCAGCAGCATAACTAGCAAGTAAAGCTGCGGTGTTTGGGTCAGCTCCAGCTAAACAGAATGCAGCTGCAGCTGCAGGATTGTAATTTACGGGTGTTCCTGAAGCACTTGCCATCGCAGCTGCTAATAAAGCTTGATTCGCATTAAAAGTATTACCAGCAGGCATAGCAGCTATATTTGTGAGTGTTGGGTTAGTGGCTGCAAAACAAGCTTGGTTCTGTAATAGTCCACCAAGTCCCGAACCAACAACCATGGATGCTAGGTTGCCGGGTGTTGGCATTGAAACTACTGGTAATCCACATGTAATCCCTGCTGCACCACGCAATGCAGCAGCAGCAGCAGCTATCGCAGCTGTCGAAGACGTACTTGGTACAAGCGCTCTGACACCTCGAAGCGTTGTTGCTGCTAAAATAACAGAACAACCAAATGGTACATAAGTTAGCTTGGGTTTAAATTTTAAAAAATATCAGTTTTCATGTATTCTTAAGCGACAAAAATTAAAATTAATGACATTAACATATAAAAATATTTTGAAGTGCAAGCGCTATGAAGTGTTGATGAACTAACTCTACTTCTTGTTGAAAAGAAAATTAAATAAAATTTCCAGAGTAGGTAAACATCGAGTAACATAGTGTTACACAAGTGATGATGGACGGTCCAGTCAAATGCACAAATGAAATTTTTCGAAAAATGAGGAAATGGATGCGTAAAAGGAGAATGGATTTGCTTCTATTTTCGTTCATGAATATAGCCCAGAAATATTATTAGTCGTATAAAAATCTTATAGATATTATTCATTTGGTGGTGCACAAAACGGACTGATTATGTTCAAACAAATATTGAAAACTAGGAAGCACTGGACAACTGTTTTTAGAAGAATCAACTCCATTACTCTAAATCCTTGCGATGGGTACTTAACCCTTCAACCAATGAGTTGGTACTCAGTGGGTTACATTTTTGACTTTAGTCGATGCGTGGTGTTATGCTAACACTTTACATTGCCATCGGTGTTATCTGTTTCACACTCGGGCCGCTTAAACTCCATCGGTCACAGCTTCTCAATAAGACTTCGGGGATTTCCTTTCGAAATTGACCAATATTGCGAACACAAACATCACAAGTGAGGGTTTTTGGAGGTCGTTCAATAATGAGTTTACAGTTAATTAAGTCCCCTCATGGGAAAGCAGTTCATTATTATACTTTGAAATTTCTCACTTCCGTAGATAGTGGGCAGTAAAAGTTCACGTATTTGTATAGCATAATTAGAGTAAGTTAAATGAAGGCTTTAACCTCAATCTTTGAACCTTATGATGTTCACTGACATAGTACATTTAAAATTCTAGTGAAATTCACCCTTCCTCAGAAATTGGAACTAATCCTTTGATATTGTATTCTCATAGATTGTCGCTAATAATTAAAAGCGAGAACCTACCTTAGTTATGACAACTAACTATTATAGAGAAGGGTGTAAACTCAAATCTTAAACTAAAAAGTTTTCACATGTGATTTCATGTTGATTATCAAATCAGTAGACTTCTTATAGGCTGTCATTAACATTCAAGTATCAAGGACACTACACTATGATATCAAGTTGTAAAGCGTAATGCTCGCATCAAACAAATTGATTAATATACCTGGTCTGAAAACTCAACAGATCGATCTTACTTTATAAGTTTACACTAATAATCCTTTATGTAATGATAGTGAAAGCTTGATAACCAAATTATTCAGCAAGGTGGATATCGTATCATTAAAAGCAGCAGACGAATTTCAAAATTTTGTCCGTCTTAAAAATCCGCTAACTTTGTAGATCCTACAATCATTCATAATACTAAAGATGACAAACTATATACTCAGAGAATATAATCAACATGAAATTATGCAACATATTTAATAGATAGACACCAGTTAGGTTCATAAGTTAAATGCTGGTAATCTGATCACTGTGTTGATTCACTTTTGTTTCCTGATTCGTAGCTAATAACGTGATTGTAAAAGAGCATTCTAACATGGCTAATCATTACTAGTGACTGAATCGCTCTAATAAAACTAGTAGTGATCGTTCGTATATTACGTAAAATTTCGATGAGAAATCAATATATTTGAACCTTTAGAAACAATGTACATGACTAAAAGGCACTTAAGAAGATTTGGAACTATTAAAATAGTCTTATTTTCTACCATACAAGCGGACATACTAATTACTGTCATGCTAACATTTGTAATGATGCACCACTCTTTTTGCCCCAAAAAATATAATACATATATTCTTATTTAAATTACGGTTTTAAATCCCATACTTTATTGATAAGATGAACTTACTTTTCAGGAGTGTAGGTGATTCAGACTTTTTCTTTGTCATAACCCGTGCAGTAGCATTATTAATCTAGTAAGAAAATGGATTGACACGCAGACCTATAGGTTCAGATTTTTAGTACAAACATAAGAGTATCTAACTACTAAGCAGATACCAATAAGCAATTGAAGCGGTAATGAAAGTAATTACTAATCCAATGTAAAACAAGTTAAAGTAACTATTTTGAAATGTTTGGCGTAAGTAAATACACACCTCAAAGATTTTGTCGATGAATTTAGGACAAACTAAAATCGTATAACAAATAAAGTCGATATTTTTCAATCAATTTTTATTTCTTATCACTTGTAAATCGGACTTGTATCTGTCTAAACATTTCGACATTCAGCTATTACGTGGTAGAACTTGAGTTAGCTACATAATAGGTTTGAATAAGATTTGAAATATACCTATTTAATGAATCTTAACAAACATAAAACTCATATCTAAGGCACCTTTCAACCATCTTTTAAAACGAGTATCAGAGATTTGTTTCAAAATTCGTTTTAGGGTAAAAATTTGCAAAATATAAGTAATAAGCTATAAGTGATTCATTGACCATTAATGTTATTCGACGGACATTTGGAAACAAAACAGTTGGTTAAGAATTTCAGTTTGTCTCTACTATTTTTATTTCAATATAAAGCCTAAATTGTCACTAGTAGTACTTTGTTAAATGCCCCTGAGTTTTATTAGTTCCGTTATCAATCGTAACGAAGTACAGCTTTGAGACTGAAGTAATCAACGAGAGTTAATCTATTGCATCAAACTAGAATGCAGTGACAGAAAGTTGGAAATCTTTTATACTTTGCTGAATGATTAACTTTCGAACTAAGCAGTCAGATAATGTCAGTGTTCCTAAAAGATAGTATATCTTCAGCTTAGTTAAATTAGAAATTAAATACAAATATCAACGTGTGAAAAGAATTCGTGGTTCACTAACCTCTCTCCTGATTCTGTCTAGAAATTATCCACAATCGCTTAATGCTTTTTAAATATCTACATAAAATCATATTCATAATCCATTGTATGACATATCAGTGACAATAATACGATGTACATCGTAACTTTATAAAGCTTATAGATCATAATCAAACAGCAAAAATGACTTCATAACTTACTCAACTATCCTTTATTAGATAAAAAGACAGACACTATGTTTTTCGTTAAGAGAGATGAAGATAACTAGGCCAGATGAGGTTTCCGGTTTCCCCCATAATTCGCATAATCAATCTCAAATTAGAAAGATTTCATGTAAGCCTCCTGATTGAAAGACATAATTAACCGGTACTTTAGTTAGTAATATGAAGCTGCGTGCATCACTGGACTTAAACACATCAAATACTCTCATATCATTGGTAGCCTAACTACATAACTCCTGAATTCCCCTTAACCTCGTTAAAGCTGATTTTATCGACCATAGGACACTAAATTTAAGGTAATGCAGCATTACATGCATCAACTGATCAGTCTATCAAATGTTACACGTATCAGCATTGAAAAAAAACACTTTATCAACATAGAAACAGATAAGTAATTATACATGCGAACCTGATTAAATCGCTTTTCTGTGAACAAATGGCGTGCCGCGAAAGTCATGCGTGTCAAATAGTTATCGGAAAAGCTCTAAATGTGGAACATAGATTAACTTTAAGCTGAAGGGTTTCATTCGACAACAGAAGCTTCAATATATATTGTCCATAAATGCTAACAAATCTACAGTCACTCGAAAGTGAAAAAATTACTAAACTGCCTTAAAGTTATACGGTAGAAAATCAAATTTCAAAGCTGCCATACAGATAATGTACTAGCTGCTCACTTTTTTCCATTGATTTACAGAACTTTTATCAAGATTATACCACAGAAAAAGAATTGATAATGTACATCAGTATGTAACTTAAACATTAAAAATAAAAAAATGATTCAAACTACAATCAACTTTACTTTTCAAATTATGAAAAAGCTTGGGGTATAATTGTGATTCATGAAGTTACCCATTTCAAGCTCTAAGTTATCGTTATACATTAATCTGTCGTAATTATGGTATTAACATGCTTACGTAGTGAGTAGTTTCAATCTATATGCACTTGTGTTCAGTGCATTACCATACACACAAACACATTCACAAATGAACCAACAAATATTTGACTAAGTAACATAGGCTTTGCACACAGAATTGCGCATTCAAATATTGAAAAAGCTTATGTTCATTGACTGATAACACACAGTATTCTTTACCAGTATGTCGTCTTATGGGTATTGGACCAGTGATGTTAGTGAACGAGAGTGAAATTCAGCATACTAGAAACAGATTGTTTGCACATAGAAGAATGATCAAAAATTAAAATTACTACGAAAATAATACAGTGTATGATGCATTTCAAATATTTTGTTATTCATTCTTCACTATGTCATCATTTTACTTAATTCAAAATGCAATATCTAAACATTAAAGTGTAGGAATAAATAAGAACTTTCGTCCAAATTTGAACGAACAGTTTCACAATATTTGGGCGCCGAGTTAATGTGAGTCATTAAAGAGGAAAAATGTATTTGTAAAATCTCAGCGAAAGAATTTGAAGTAAATCCAACGTTTCGATAATTTTGTTGTTTGATTATATTTTCCTTGAAAAAGCTTGGACCAGATTGCCAGGCGAAACGTTGGATTTACTTCAAATTCTTTCGCTGAGATTTTACAAATACATTCTTCCTCTTTAAGTATAGGAATGCTTCAACATGATGCCTATTTTACTCTATGATACTTCATTTACGAGGTGTAATTGGTTAACTTACATATACGACTATCAGCAGTTAACATGTGTTATCAAAGTATGAGTACATGATGTTCTGATTAGAAAATTTCTAACTCTTTTGATAGAAAATCACTTTAAAATCAATCTACAATATACACTGTAATTTGACAGTATTTTCATCTATAACATTGAAATCTGGTCGAATGATTATCGTATTATCAAAGATCACAATTCAAGTCATATCATCACACTATTAAGTGCAAATAACAGTTCTAGACAGTGAGTCATATAATGAATCTTGTGAACTGGAGAATACAACTAATTTTCACCACTAGTTTAGAGTATGTCAAGTGTATGAATCTCATTTCGACAATAATTTCTAAAGAGTTTTTCTGCAGCACAACAGTTTTTGAAGTGATTCAGTTTCAGTCATCTTGTTCATTAAAGATTAATCAAACGTTGTTTTTAAAAGATTTATTCAGTTAAGAAGTGACCAAGTTGCTAAATGCTTTCTAATATCCCACTGTCTATTAAATAGGTTGACTATATGACAAAAGTACTAGTCTGTTGGTCTAAGGGGTCTTCAAATGAACACATAATGTTCTTTACAAATTTCACAGCTCGTGATTGAAAAGTGGAGTCAGCATGTCAACTGGAATTTTCGAAACATAAATTGCTAACTTTTTAAAAATATAAATGGTTAACAATCAATATGTTAATTCTAAAATGAGTTTTAATCCTACGCTTAGGAAAACATAACATTAAGAGGACTGAATAACAAGTTGATATAGGCGGGTGGTGAATATCAATAACTTATAGTATTGTAGGGTATCGAGAGTTGTATAAAAATGGGATTGGATAAATTCCTAAACACTCACTAATGACTGGTTTGAAATTCAGCCTCATAAATCTACTTGGCGCTTGATTATAACAGTAATGTAGATGACAATAAAGAACGTTTTCCTATATAGTAAATCGCTCAAGCAAAAATATCAGTTATTACAATTTGACCCAATAATTTTTCAACCTAGAGTATTTGTATAACGGTTTATAGATTCCAGATTTTTAATAAACAAGTGTTATGGATTAAAATTGATAAATACCTTCAAAGAATGACAAAACAATTGTCTATTACTTTCTACTTCCAAACATTTGGAAACTAATTCGAAGTAGTGAAACAACCTTATGTTCATTAGAAACATTTCCATCTGTCGGTTAATAACTACTTGACTATTGGCAGCAAACGGATAGTTTTAAACAATATGTGTTGTTAAAAGACATCCAGTATTTTAATTCCCAGAAGCGTTTTGTCAAATTATTTGAAGATTTCACCTCATCAAAGATACAATTTTCCATTATGGAAAGTGCCAAGTTGATGCTTTACACAAATATTGATTCAATGAGGCAAATTTTAATAGGTTGTAAGAAAGCAAACAAATGAACACAATTTTAATGTAGCATAGATTTTTACACGTTTTTGAAGACATATTAATACGAATTAAAACATGCCAACACATTCATTTGTTTCATGTATGCACTACATTAACTGAATTGATTTTCTTATGTACCCTTCACTAACAAACAAGCACCAAAGGTCATAGCAATAATTGTGTATGTGGTTAGTATGATGGACTGAGAGTGAAATACAGAAAGAGTGACTCAGTTAGTTGAGGTCATGATTTTCTTTGTAGATATGTTCTTCACAAATCCTTTTCATAAATAAGTGGAGATTTACTGTGCAAGTAACCTTAATTTAAGTAAACAAGTATCGCATAGATTGGGATGTTTAAACAATGTATTTTTTCTTTTTTGGTTGCATAATCTAAAGTGTCGTTTTACATTATCTCAGTAGGATCCTACCTCAATTTTTCTGCCTTCAACTACCGTGCCATTTAGATTTTCTCTTGCATGATCAGCTTCTTCGCCCGTTGCGAATGTGACGAAACCAAAACCCTATCAACAAACATAATGAAGAGAGAGGAGGGTACTTGTTTAGATATCAGGCTTATGAAAGAAAATTAAAATCTGAAAGAAGTCCATGGAAGAAAAAAAGAGCAAAATAGTGAAATCTGAACTCAACTGTCCAATAATGATGTAAATAGGGGGAAAATTACTACTATTCCTATACCTTGACCAATTTTATTAAATAACTATAATAGCCGACTATAGATATATCTGTTAAAGTTTAAGATTGAATAAATAAACATTACCTACTCAGTACTCAACGTAAAACTCACAAAATTAGTCTCTTAAGTACTTATCGAGGTTAACCAATTCAGTGTTTCCAGAATGGAGGGTGACAAATATCAAAGGGAGGTGGTTACTGAATAATAATCTTATCTATCCACTTAGAAATAAACCTCAAGTTCCGACTTCATTTTATCGACTGAAGTCATATGGTAGTTAAAGTTAAAAACGGCTGTTCGATCATTAAATATCTCCATAAAAAAACTATAAAATATGGTATTAATCCTAACAAAGGTTGGGGATGCGTTCCCAATAGTAATCATAGAAAATAAGGAATGCAGTATGCAATAGACTCAGTAATTTAGCTTCCTCGTATTTCTGATTTAAATTTCTATTGCCAATGGTTTTTCACTTTTGATAACACTTCCCGATCATTGGAATTTCAATTAACCAAAAACTTTCACAAAGTATTTTCATAAACAAAACCCGTGAATACTTTTCCTTTTTATTTGATAACTGTCAGTTACTACCAATAATGATCGTGCAGATTACTACTTCTTTCATCATGACTATTGCAAGAGAATACGGACTATCATAATCATTGATGAGTATGTGGAGGTTTTGCCAGGACATTAAATAAAAAAGCCTTTTGCTAAAAGTCACTTTATCGAATGTTTTATTATCTCTCGAAAATATCAGTCAATGTGGATTATATCTTCAGAATAACAAATAAATACTGCTAAAATTAAAAATTAAAAAATATACCTTGGAACCACGTTCATTGAAGATAATTTCTACATCCAGTATTGTACCAAATGGCTATTAGTGGTCAAAAGAAAGGAAAATGAAGGAAGATGAGTGACTAGATATGTTCTCTGCAGTTACACTTCTAATTAATCATATAGATTACAAAGTGATTACGAAAAATTGGATTCTTAACTGTTGCTGTTATTAAAATTGGTTAATAGGTTAATGTAATTGGGCTTACATACGATAGTATTGGTTAGCTACCGATTTGTTTGCTCGTATACTTGTCATGAAGAATGACCTTTTTATCAGTCTAATACACAATGAAACGTTTTGGACATTTATGGGATTAGTTATATCCGACATACACTTGACCAAGTGAGAAGTATGTTCTAGTTTAACAAATGATACTGAAAAAGGAAACTACTTATAATAACCGTAATTTTATGTTTAGTGTAAAATTTTGTAGAACTTACTCCTAAAAGCTGACGAAGGTCTGCCTCTCTGAATCTAAATGGAATATTAGACACATGAAGACGTTTAGGCCCAACATTGACCAGATTAGCTGCTAAGCCAGCTGCTGTTCCGGAATTCATGATGGAACTAGTGACTGAAGGAGAAGCACTAGATGCGATTGTAGTTGAAGTAATCAGCGGCAAGTTTAAATCTCCACATAAGGAAAATAATGGAACTTTATGATTCTGAGTTATAGAAGAGCTTGATGAAGTAAATGAGTAGCTCGTTTCTGTTTTATCTTGTACGTGAGCATTAGAACTAGCATCTTTCGTTGACAAGTCAGTTAGGTGAGCTGGGTGGTTAACAGGATCACCATAAGTAGAAACCGGTGACATTATTGTAGACGTTTTCGATGAGACAACCAAGGCCGCAGCTGCTGCTGCTACAGCAGCTTCCAATGAGGCAACCTAAATCAAATATTCAGAAATCTATTAAAATTGCTGTTTAAAGTAGGCATTTATCTACATTGTATGTATCATTACCAAGGTTTGATTTGATAATTTCGAATAAATTGAGCATTAGGTAGATTGTTATAAATAAATAATATATTTGTAATATCCCAATGAGTAGAAAATTAGATTTTCTGACGTTTTGTGGTTTAGTGTCAGTTTATTCTTCAGAGGATAAATAACCAAATTTGTTCCGTTGTACTATTTAAATTTGGATTAATTTTAATTTGGTTATTTATTCTCTGAAGAAGTGATTTACACTAAGTCACGAAACATCAGAAAATCTAATTTTCTACTCATTTGGATATTACAAATATATTATTTATTTATTTATCTACATTGCTTCAATTAAATACCGCTTTTTCACATTCAGGGGTAAGTGATAACTTATTTAGACCCAGGGGCAAAACACTTTTATATCATGAACCGTAGTTAAGAGAATTATCCCTCTGCTAATGAAATTACGTGTTCACAAGGTATATTGATAAATAGATAAATAATGGTGAAGAAAATCATTTTCAGCTCAAATTCCTCGAATTGCCGATGACAATTTTAGACAAGTATTTAATTATTGTTAAACAAATTTTAAAACTTATGACTATCGTCTACATCAATAGGATCGATACATGTGGAGTTGGTATATTTCTTCTCTTAGCTTTACTTTCGGTTAAGCACTTTGTTGACCAGAAATGCTTCCATCGTTTCTGAAAAATGACCTCTATCTAGTATGATTTTTCAATGTATATACGGGATTAATCAATCTAACATGAATACAAAGCATATGAATACTTAAAAATTGTCTAGTATTCCATTCATTTAAAAGTGGAGGAATACTTTCTCCTTTTTGTAGTATGCTGAGCTTTTGCGGTGGCCTTCAAATAATTTTAGGATGTCTGTAAGTTTGTTTTATGAAATTTGTTTGGGTCATGTAGTATTCTTTGTACAAACGATTGTCATGCAGTGATCACGAAGCTCATTTTAATCATCCAAAATTATGGAATAAGACATTTTCGACAGGATAAACATACCCGTAATTGATGAAAACAGAAATTAGATGTTTATTTATATGTGCAATATATTCCGCTTAAGTATTGAATCGTGACTTGATGGAAGATAAGAGACAATCAAACAATTAGTGCTTAGACTCTCTTGAACCATTTTAACTAAATTGTGGACGATAACAGAATCGGCAATAAGATTTTTAACAACCCAATAAAAGTTAACTTTAGACTTGGTTACATCTGGTATTTGCTAACTCGTCAATTAGAACAAAGGACTAGTCACTTGAAAAACCAAATACGGCCTGATCTATGGGTATTACCGTAAGGAATTTAATTTATATGGTGAATTATTTAACAGGAATCATATACTTAATGGTTGGAATGTAGAAGGGAATATTAGCTCTTTGCTTGACAATGGTATAGTACGATTCATTTAAACAGTTATCAGTGCGAACAGTTAAAGAAGGTGAGGTCTCCGGATATGTAACCTTTTTATGTTTTAGATAACGTTACAGTGAGTAGTTAAATCGCGATCATGTACTACAGAAACTTATTGACATTAGGTCTATAAACCTTAGTCCATTATTTTACTCTTACAGATTTAAAACTGTGATTATCAAAGACTCAGATTAACGACTGTGACGATCGGATTTACAGTTTTGATATAAAGATTATGGTATGCGCTTGTAACATACATGAAAAATACTGGAGTCTAATGGTGACAATTTTCTATTTACGTTTACTTAGTAATTTGATTTAAGTGTATTTTAACTATTGAATGGTTGATTTATTGAACTTAAAACATTATATCAAACTAAGCTATTACTGATAATGAGAGATAAACACAGGTAAAAACAAATAGATAGATAAACCCTGTTATGAATATCCACATTGGACCTGAGACTATCGAATGTATTTAGAATCTTAGTTATCCGAACTTAATTAAATGACAATAGTTATTTATACATTTGGTTTAACTTTTTGAATTCTCTTTAATAAATCCACCACATATCCACCTAAAGAATCTTGTACCAAATGATAAATAATAGGATTTCGAATTCCCGTCCTTTAAAGTGAACAGTGATACAATGATCTGTAATAAATTTTTGCGATGTGTAATTTGGCTCAAAAATAGAAGATCAATTCATGAGTGACTTATGCTATAGAAACATTGTATGTATACTGGTCAAATGGTATAATATATTTATACCTATAATAACTTACCTGATGTGAGTTAATTGGATCTAATATATTGGTTGCTTCAACTTCATTGATTACTTTGGTACAGATGTCTGCTACAGGATTCAAGCATGTAGATGTTGTGTTGGAAAATTGAATGTCTTCATGGTCCTTTGTATATGTAACTCCGGATGGTTGAGCAGTTGATGAGCCAGTGGGACTGTTGAAATTAGCTGGAACACCAGTAGTTGAAGAAATAATAATGTCACTTGATGCAGACGATACAGTACTGGGCACCATGAGGTTATTATTTATGGGGCTAGTTGAAGTGAACATGATTTCTTTTCTTTCTGATAGAGTGAATGCCTTAAGAAGTGATCTAATTAACTTTAATAACTTCCTTACAGTGAATGATGTTAGGTATTCGTGAAAACCTTCAGCTTTTGTGCCCTTATAATATAATAAAAAGGATATTGATATAATCTTAAGGATTTCCATGAATAAGAAATGGCTTTATATTTCATGAAATTAGAATTGTTGTTAGTCGTTTCAGAATTGAAATTGTTCGGACAAAATTTGAAGAATTGGTGTTGAATGAGGTTTTCATAACTTATTATTAAAATGAATGATTGACGGTCCAGATAGTATCGGTCTCCAAGACGGTCACAAAATTAAGATTCTTAGAATTGACTATTTCTATGGAAGGTGAGTTACTAAAGAACAACAATAGTTCTCCTCTTACCCCGACAAATTAATGTTAAATATTATATGTTTGGTGAACTAAAGGACTAGCTAACAATCTCTTATGGAATACTGGATATCAACTCAGTGGATAAATATTATTGTCGTGAGACATGTAGGTTATAATCTGTTTGAAGTCCTCACTGAGTGCAGCTGTAGCTTTCACACTGGTACGAATGGACCCTCGGTTCTCCATTACATGGTTCTCTAGCTAATGTTATCGACGAAAACTGACTTCAGAACGTTTTCTATTCGACAACAAATGAGTGTTTGAACTGTATATAATATCCGGTGAGCATATTGCGATCAGTCAGTTTTAAATAAATACAAATAACAAACCTTTCGTTCTACATCAGGTAATCCTTCAAGTAAACATGAAAATTTGAGTAGTTGAGCATGTGATAGTGATATATGTATTAATCCATCATAGTCATTTATCTTACAGCACCTTATCTTTATTACTCTTCTACTATTAATAATGAACATCAAATCCCTTTTATTTCTAAAAATAAAGTGATCTCTTGGAGACATATTACGTGCTAATTGGTAACAATAATTATGGGTTTTCTCAGAATATTCAATAATATCCAATAAGTAAATTATTAGCAATTTAGGAGAGCCAGACCAACATAAATTACTGGACTCAACCATTGATTACGATTAACTACTTGCTACAAAGGGAATTGACTCACGGAAATACATGACTGATGCTCATTATTACCGACTTTTTAGCTTTATCGAAACTCTTATATTCAGCTTTAGTGTAAACATAAAAGGTACTGTTTATCCAGACGAAGTAAAATAAGTAACTCTTGAAGAATAACTAAACATGAAATAAAACGAACAGTTCTCCAACTGGTTACTATTAAATGTACAAGCGTTAAGTTTTAGATTACAGGAAGCTTACCAATAATAATAGTTAGCGGTACTACTTAAGGCAATTATTTTTAAATGTTTCCATGATGGCCTAACTCTTTGAAATATTAGTGACCTTAGATAAACAGACAGAATAAATTGGAATTCACCAATAAGTTTAAAATGGTACATTGCTTTGCAGAAAAACCAGTAATGCTAGCCGTAACTGGTGATCCATTATTAACAATAAGTTGCACTTGAAAACTCCATATTATACATCTATTAATTACTTTACATATTTAAATCGCCAACTAATAAAGAGTTTAGGTTAAAGATTTATGATGGGAAGCCTCCACAATAAAGCCTGAAATTTTGTAGACTCTTTAAATGAAGGTGCGTGGAAAAGAGTAATTTCTTTAATATATTCATCCTCCACAGTCTTATAAGCATTACGCATCCAGTAAAAATCTCAAGTAGCAAATAATTATAAGGCACTGAAATACATCAATTCTAAATTTGGTTTAATGACACCATAGAACTCTGAACATAGACTAATTTGAAAAAAAAGGTTGAAATAATCCCAAACGATAAAACGTAGTTAATCGTAGATTAAACAACATACGCGTTAGATTTTCCACTTACCAGACTCTTCTTTCCGTTGGAAACTTAATGACCGAACTATCAAAATAGCAAAATATATTTGATAAACTGAAGCTTCTGTTTCACTTAGTTGGCAGAAAAATATGTGTTCAATCGATACGATTTACCCAAATAAACACTAAGATTCCTAATGTGTTTGTGTGATTCCCAGCGTGAATATTAGTGAATACCTGCACACAAACATAAACACAACGAAAGCATCAACTTTTTAGTGAATCAGTCCAATCAGGAACCCAAAAGAGGAAGAAAATAGGATATTTTCCAAAAATATTTGAACACATGCTGTCTGGACTTGCGGTCTGCCCTACTGGGGCAATAATCAAAGTAATGAAGCACACTACCCTTTATATGCATTTTGACCGTGCCCAGTTCTTATTTAGATGTTTTTAACAAATGGTTTTTGTTGAGGAAGGGGAATGCAGCATAAAAGTTAGTTTAAATGGAAAAAACGTTCACTTGGTGACGTGTTATAAAAAAACTAGATTTTTTATGTAGGCAATACATTTTTCTTTTATATAATACTTGTGAAATGTTAGGAAAGGTAGTGTCCTAAATAATTTTTTGATAGAATATGAATAGCTTATTGATTACAGGCAACTTAAATCACTGTGAATATACTGATTGTTAAAGTGGGCAGATTCCTAATATTTATTTTAGTAAGTGTGCATCTACACATTAGATTGTTTCTATCTACATTTAAATCATACCAGTCTACGAATATATTTATTTAATATCATACAATTCAACTGGAGCTGAATAAATAAATCTAAACTTATTGTCAAATGAGTCACTACTGAAAAGTTTTAGTTTAAAGTAAATAAATGGGTTTTATATTTTGCCTTCAATTTTTAATATTTGGACGACTAGTAAATTACATATTATGTCCGTTGTACATACACCGTTTCACGAAAATGGAGCTAACCCAGTCAAGTAAATTCACATGAATTATCTAACTATTGAGTGTCTGCTCAAGTAGCCAGTTAGTTGAGTTTAATATTTTAATCCAATATTCTCCATCAACCATTATTTCGACTGGTAGTATTATTTGATCATAACGAAATGCGATTGACGCAACAAAATGACTTAAGTGCAAACTCTGATAGTTAGAAATAACAAACTGAATGTTATTTTGAATCTGAATTATGAGCAACAGTGGTATCATAAAAATGATCCAGTAAACAAATTGTTTCTCCACTATTAAAACATTTTCGAAATTACGTGTAAATGTAAAACTCCTTTGAAACATGTAGATAGTGAAAAGTCTGAGACATCCTATGTATATGTGAATCACATCAGTACATCAGTTAAGGATTAAGGGAATAGATAAATGATGTAAAAAGTCACAGTTTAGTTTAATTAAAAAGTTAATACTTCAGTACAGTAACTTTTACCTGTAGACTCGTAGCTATTGGTGACGATTTGACTCATAATGAAGACAAACGATGAACAAATTACGAATTAACTGCTATGAGAAAGAACATACACAACAATCCTTGTCACAATTCTCAGTGCATCGTATCAAGTTTAAACTTCGTAATACTCTGTGAATTTATGAATATAAATTTGTTGGCTGGATGGAAACTGATCGGTCTCGGATTAGCGATCACTGTTATGTTATCCGGTCCCTGTACCAGTCTACTTGTGACAATAAAATTGTTGTATTATTTGTACTTAACTGAAGTTTTACACTTGAAATATGTATTTAGTCTAATGTGCATTTGACTTTCACAACTATGATGTTTTCTACGCTCAACAACTTCCTAGCTGATTTACATTTTCTAGTTTATTGTCTGTGTTAAAAAATAGAATTTCTGTATATGTGTTTTATTCCTCTTATTTCAGACTTTATAATAACAGTGGATAAGAAGTATTAGGATATATTGATACTGTAAGGTGTTTCAAATCAATATGCAACATGCGACATGGTGCGCTGTTCAGAGAGTTCAGTGTGGGGCAAGCGGTAATACCAAGAGATTACTATGGAGTAAAGCCAACTTGGAAGATTGGAACTATAATCGACAGCAAAGGGAAAGTTATTTATGAAGTAAAAGTCGGAGAAAAGATATGGGTGTGACATACAAACCAAATACGACTGACCAGACTTAACTGAAGCTACTTTACAAAGTATATAACACTTAAACGTTGCACACTGTATCAATCCCATTAAGAAAAATACTGAAAATGTTTGTAGATTTCGAAAAAGGCAACGTGAATCAAGATTATAAAAGTCATTGAGAAAGAAATCAAAGTTAACCTAATTTAACTGAATTTTAATAATGCAGCTGTTACTCTTGTCTCAAACTTTCATTTAATATACTACTATGTTGTTAGATTATGACTCTGGTGAATGCATTTTCTGAGGTTCAGTACTTACAAAAAGTCAAGGGTTATCACCAGGATAAGTGACCCAACATAATGGAGTTTGATCAACAATGAGCAGAAATGGTGTGACATGAGCCTAGAGTAAATTGACCGTTATACTTTAGTTTTTGTGGTTTTCGTAAGCCAGTTTATTCCATCAGTTGATGAAGGAGATGTAGTCATCAAACCAATGTGCACCCAACTTATAATATTAGGAGATACAGTAATAACATATCAGTTTTTTATACCTGCAGCCATCCAGACATAAGATATATTAAATAAAGGGGAAATGAATGACTGGAAATACTGATGAGGTACTATTATACGTTTATAAGTTGAACAGAAAATGATCCAAAGAGAACCTATTTTGTATACGTGAAAACAAAAATAATTATCTATACTAAAGTCACAAAGAAATGCGTTATCTATGACAACCTTGAAACATATTTAATTCAGATCAACGAATGTTAATGTTTATCCTTCTGGGACTTTATAATGGCGCTAATAAACTCACACTCATAGTTAAGGATCTTGTTTTTACAATAAATAACAACCGGGGTTGATTATGCATTTACTGATAATAAATTCTTGATTAACATTTATTGAACGAAAAATTGTTTTTAAAAAAGGGCTTTTTGAGAGTCCAACATCCCATACTCCGCATTTCCACCACATAAGATAAGATTGATTTCATTCTAGAATTAAGCAGCACATAAACTCTCAAGTACAATGTAACAAGTGGAAATATTTCTTTTCTCATGGTCCTTAAAATGTTTATGAGAACCGCTTTTCAAATTTTAGACCAAATGACAATTACGAAATATTGGCTTGATAGACGTTGCTGCTTGTCATGATTAAGTAGTATGATTAAATAAATGAAAATGTTATTTTGATCTTTCACAGGCTCTTTTTCCAGTTTATTATTAACAGTTACAAAATATCATCTCGTGATTTTTATGTATTTCGAAGAATCTTCAAATTACACGAAAATATAATTTTCCTTCTTTTTATCTTATTTCGGTCAATATTTACTGTTGTGACGTTTGCCATGTTAGTTATCACGCGTCAATCCGAATACTGACTCATATGACCTTATTCCTGCATTATACTAATAACACTTTAAAACAACACTAGCAACCTTGTTTCAACTCTGAATCTTAACCGAACTTTTTTTTAGCCTAGCCATACCCGTTGACTCAAGAGAGCAGTCTCAGCCTCCATTGTATGAATACTGTATTTCAGACATACGTCGTTTAAATACAAGCAAATCAGACCGAAAACGCCATAAAATAATAAAATAACTATTACACATAATCAAGCCGAAAAGTGGCTGTGTGTGGGAGACTGTAACCAATAGATTGGGAATAACTTAATAGTAGTAAATCGTATAATAATAGCCATTAAGTCTTGAGATGGTGAAGATTTGTAGCTCACGTTGATGATTTTGATGGAGTTTTGTCCTCTAAGCTCCAGGTCAGAGCCGGAGTCTATAAACAGTTCTCGGAAGTTACCCATAATTTAATCTTTTTTGCATATAACACCTCCCTTTTTTGAAGCATTAGGGATAATAAAAATCATAAGGATTTGTTCTTATTCGGTCAGATTTTCGTCGGATGATCTGCATCTGCCTTGGCTGTGTTACACAATTTCTCTTGTTACTTGAGTTATTTTTAGGTTCATTAGCCAATTCGGTTAATTATTAATGGTATAGCCAGCTTTAAATCACATCGAATCCCCCACTATTTTCTGGTCAGCCGTATTTGGTTTGTATGTCACACCCATATCTTTTCTCCGACTTTTACTTCATAAATAACTTTCCCTTTGCTGTCGATTATAGTTCCAATCTTCCAAGTTGGCTTTACTCCATAGTAATCTCTTGGTATTACCGCTTGCCCCACACTGAACTCTCTGAACAGCGCACCATGTCGCATGTTGCATATTGATTTGAAACACCTTACAGTATCAATATATCCTAATACTTCTTATCCACTGTTATTATAAAGTCTGAAATAAGAGGAATAAAACACATATACAGAAATTCTATTTTTTAACACAGACAATAAACTAGAAAATGTAAATCAGCTAGGAAGTTGTTGAGCGTAGAAAACATCATAGTTGTGAAAGTCAAATGCACATTAGACTAAATACATATTTCAAGTGTAAAACTTCAGTTAAGTACAAATAATACAACAATTTTATTGTCACAAGTAGACTGGTACAGGGACCGGATAACATAACAGTGATCGCTAATCCGAGACCGATCAGTTTCCATCCAGCCAACAAATTTATATTCATAAATTCACAGAGTATTACGAAGTTTAAACTTGATACGATGCACTGAGAATTGTGACAAGGATTGTTGTGTATGTTCTTTCTCATAGCAGTTAATTCGTAATTTGTTCATCGTTTGTCTTCATTATGAGTCAAATCGTCACCAATAGCTACGAGTCTACAGGTAAAAGTTACTGTACTGAAGTATTAACTTTTTAATTAAACTAAACTGTGACTTTTTACATCATTTATCTATTCCCTTAATCCTTAACTGATGTACTGATGTGATTCACATATACATAGGATGTCTCAGACTTTTCACTATCTACATGTTTCAAAGGAGTTTTACATTTACACGTAGTTTCGAAAATGTTTTAATAGTGGAGAAACAATTTGTTTACTGGATCATTTTTATGATACCACTGTTGCTCATAATTCAGATTCAAAATAACATTCAGTTTGTTATTTCTAACTATCAGAGTTTGCACTTAAGTCATTTTGTTGCGTCAATCGCATTTCGTTACCGCAAAATATCTTCAAATTTAGCGAATAAAGTACACGTTTTGTTTCATTATCCTAGACTTATTTGATTTACCATGTTTTTTGTCTTTCATTTTGCTAATTTTGTCAGTAATTCGAGAAAGAAAGTAAGACATATGTATATGATATGCAATATCGTTTCAGCTTTTGATAAACGACCTAGATGCTGAAAATCAATTATAATTACTTATTGGCCAATTCTGATATTCTAACCTAAATCGAGACATAATTTAACCAGTTGATTCTTTTCATGCCAAAAATAACTGATAAGGTATACTTGTGTATCGCAAATATACTTTCAAAACTTCCGGTCTGCTCTTATTCCTGGTCTCACCATGACCTCATTATTTTGGCCTGTTGCTCCTGATGAGGTTGAATATAATAATCGCAGCAAAATATCAGTTGTTGGTTGTGGAGCAGTTGGAACATCGATTGCATTTTCTCTGCTCGATATAGCTGGTGCAATTGCCCTAATTGATGTCAATGAATTTAAGGTAAAGGGTGAAGTCATGGATTTGATGCAAGGTCAGCTGTTCTCCGGATATTGTAAAATTACTGGTGGTTCCGACTTTAAATTGACGACAAATTCAGATATTATCGTAGTTACAGCATGTGTGACTGATAAAAACGAAAATCCTGAACAACAATTTGTAAAAAATGTTAAACTTTATCAGGAAATAATCCCTAAGATTACTTATCATAGTCCTCAATCTGTTTTGTTGATTGTCACAAATCCAGTTGATATAATGACACATGTAGCCGCCAAACTCAGTGGTTTCCCGAAACATCGAGTTTTTGGTACTGGGACAATTTTGGACTCAGCAAGATTCCGTTATCTTCTTGGTCAGAAATTTAGTGTCGATGCCTCATCAGTTAATGGTTATATAATTGGAGAACTTGGTGAAAATATTATACCTTTATGGAGTACCGTGAATATTGCTGGTGAACGTTTAGTCACAAAAAATGCACATATTAGATGTTCAAGTGATCCTGAAAATTTCAAATTGGTTTATGAATCGACAATCAAAAGTACAGAAGAACTTAACCGATTAAAAGGTTGTAATTCATGGTCTATTGGACTTGCTTGTCGTGCCATATGTGATGCTATAATACACAATCTTCATACCATTTATCCCGTCTCAGTGTATGTTAAAGATGTGAATGGGATCCAAGAAGACGCTTTTCTGAGTTTTCCTTCTTTGATCAACTCTAAAGGAATAAGTCATATAATACCACAGCAGTTAAATCCTGATGAAGAAAGGAAAATAAAACAAAGTGTTCAGAAGCAAATAAACGTGGTGATACATCTAGGCATATGAAGCTTCACTGTAATGGATATTTTCAGTTTGTTCAGAATGACTTTTATTATTTATCCGTGAGTTTTTGCCATTTTGATAAACTACTTTTAATACACTAGTGCATTGGAAGTACTTCAGATGAGTTTTCTTTCATTTGAGTGTGTTTTTATCAGTAACAGATAGGAAATAGTATAATCAAAATTTACCTCAATTAAACAGACGTCCTGTTATGGTTACAACTAATAATTACTAGTAATGGTTTTAATACAATAAGAATGGCAGCAAGTATTTAAGAAGTACGTTTCATAAAAAAGTGAATGTTCATTTAGTAATTTAAGCTCAACTTTACTATGAAAACGGACCCATATGGTGTAGGTTTCCCTAGAGACAAGTTTAAGACATGAAACTTCCATAGCATTTTACATAGACAATTCTTGTTAACCTCTAGGCTTATTAAATATATACATGTAAAATAGCAATTAGTGTAAGAGCATTTCGAAATAGATTGTTGCTAAAAATATTTCACGCTGTATGACACATTATAATTTCAGGTCTCAACAGAGACCAAATGAAATATGAATGTTGACATTCCAACGAAAGATGTAGATATCCCGACATCTCTTCTAAGATTTCCTGCAATCCAGAATGTACGCATTTTGGTTAACAGATCATGAATGAACAGACGTAGATATTTAATCTTCAATTTACATTCACTTAATTATCAAAATAATTTTATGCGTTATATTATTTTATCTACGTGTAAACTTTATTTAACTTGCTTAAGTAGAAAATTATGTTGATTCAGTCTATCCATGGAATGAAATTCTGTATTTATAACAGAAACTTTGATATTCATTTATTACTTTCCATATTTTAAATATCTAGAAAGATTATTCGTAGTATAACATTACGGTGATAGTTCAGAAACTAGTACAATTAACGAATGATAACTACAGAGTTTATTCTCTAATTAGAGATTCAAATTATAAAAAACTTCCTGTCGAATATTTGAGAAATACTTAGCTTTAGTTCAATATTACTAATTATTTACTTGTTACCAAGTTTTGATTTTATATATTTGAATAAAATTAGAGTCCTTATTGTCTTTGACACTGTAAAAATAATCTGTTACTATAATTAGTTTTCCCAGTAAATTTAGATAAAGTAGCTATGGTTTTATATTTGGTTGATAACAAGATGGTTTGTATATTCGCCTCAAATGTGTCACTGATTGTCACTATCGCTAACAGTACAACTTTAATGATTAGTAAAAATACTAAGAAAGTTATCTAGGTGTTGGTTGCAAAGGTATCTATCTATCTATCTATCTATCTATCTATCTATCTATCTATCTATCTATCTATCTATCTATCTATCTATCTATCTATCAATCTGTTATTTTATCTCTCATGCATCATGAAATAATACAGACTTGATGACGTTAGATTTTTAATATGGGGCTAAGTGACTAGTAGGAAGTAAGATTTACTTAAACTAGAAACTAAATAACTATATCTTAATATATTTAGATACCTCAGCAACATATTCTTTAACTAGAGCATTGGTTTTTGACTTCCCGAGTCAGTCACGCGAGTTTTCAAAGTTTTACGATGCATCAAGGTTGTTTGGAAAGTGAATACTTATGTGGAGATGTAAACGATATAATAGTAGAGAAATAGATCATTCGCTGAACTAAATTTCAAAGCTTAATTTAATACTACTTGGATCATTTAGGTTCACTTAATTCTTACTTACTCATTGAGAGAATCTCCGATATAGTTCCTGTCTACGATCGAATTTGTTTGTAGATGAATGAAAGTTTAGGTTATAACAGAAAAGTTATTATTCATCAACTATAACTTATGCTTATTAGTATATTAAGATATCTCAAGACATCAGTAAAGAAACTTGTAACCAGTTGTTAAAGCAGAGCTATCGTACCCTGTCGTAAGGGTGCCCAAGAACCAATAAGTCCAAGCGTCAAAGATTAGACTAGACTTCAATAAATATGTAATTATTGGAAGAACATTGTTGCTCATTAATTATGCGTCCCAAAGAAAGTAGAATTTAAATAGCTTTAGGAGTTATACAATTTATGAACTTAGAAGTTGATGTTAGTAAGTTAGGGAGTTAATCTAAGTGATTTGTCTAGTTTCAAACAAGTAGATCTTCAAAATGAAAAATAGGGTAAATCGAAAGTCAGTAATAAACAATGGTACTAATATCTTATTTGATCAGCTGCTACGTAATCTGTTTTCCTATATCTTTGTATCAAAACACGCAGCAAAAAAGTCAACTGCTAACACATAAAAACAGGAATTTTCAACGAGATGAAGTAAGGAAATCTTGTGGTTAACGGTAGAAATAAACTATAGTATACCTATGTCTATGTAATGTGAAATACTTTTCATTTATCAGGCTTGAAATATTTCTGCCTCTAATAGTAAATAACTCACAACCACCAATCCACCTTTCGTTCACATATTACCCCCTATATTGTTTTCTTTGTTGTTTTATTCATAAGTTAGCCACTAGTAGAGAATTCCCAAGCCACAATCAAATCGACTGGTGCTTTTCACCTTGTGAATTCATAAATGATTGATGGCATGCTGACATACCATTACAGGACAGCAGTACATCCATAAAATTCTGGTTTGTTAATAAACAAAGAAGTAGCTTTCGGTAGTACGAGACTGACATAAGATTCCGGGCTAGAATCAGATAACTCAGGTATCATACATTGATTACATTCATTGGGTATGTTACAAATGAGATATTTATTCATGTACTGGTATGCAAGTCATATCGACCAGACGAAGATGGTCTTAGTTTTTATTCCTGGTTTTAATTGTTCTGATTCACCTGATGTCTTATAACTACTTCGTTGATACATCATAGTATATTTGATAGTAGAGTTCGTTAGTATACACAGTATTCATGGTCATGAATATCAACAGATCTCTTCAGTTTGATATGGAGTAATAAAATAAACATAGAAAGGAGATTATATCCTATTAGAAATTTAGCAGTTTGTTTATTTGGGAAACATTTCCGAGGCCTAATAATGACTAAATCGTTCTTTGTTGAATTAGTTTATTCAGTGTCTTCAAAACTCTTTTAGCCTTCATTTTACTACAGTATTTCGGAATAATCAAAGTAATCACAACTAAAAATCCGTCTTGTTAGAGCTTTAAAACATTTGTTAAAACCAAACACTCAGAAAAGTACCTAAATTTGCAATTACATGAAAAGCACCCATTGAGTTATAAAAACTAGAAAATTGTATTGAAATAAAACTAAAATTATTTTGAAGCGATCTTATTTAGCTCATCAAGATATCCAACTATTTACTGTTTAAAGAAGTATTACAGCCAGCTATAAATTGGTTCAAACTTACTTAACATTGAGATATCTCACCAGATCACCAATAAATAGAGATATTTAAAGCTTAAAAATTATAATCAGGCGTCAGACATGCATCTTAGTTTAATGCATCGGTTTGATGAATCCCTGTTAACTTGAGTAACTAAAAAGGGGCAATCACCAGCCTTATGTCATAGTATTAATACTAACCAAGGTTGTTGGGATACACGTTAAATATTACAATCCACCGACCATTCTGATGTACCACGTCGGATAGCAAAAAGCCGACAACATGCGGGTTAAGACGTGTTATCAGTCTGTTAAGTCACTGACCATTGATCTAAGTGGTATAAAGAGCTGAGAACATCTTAGTCAAAGCCTGTGAGACTATCATAATCTTTCGTTGGAAATTTTAGGTGATATTCCTAAAATTTAAAAACCGTTGCTTTCATTCCATGTTTTCTAGATCTTGAGACTAGTATTTGTCTTTCAAATCATATGTTTAATCTTTACCTATCGAAGGAACCCAATCTATAAAGATCACTTTTGGTTTACTGAAAATATAATGTTGATAATTTCATTATTTCATATTCAATATCTAGTAAATAAGGTATCGTTTCAGTGAACAATATTTTTAGTATGCATGAAAAATGTTCTGCTATTGTTAGGTGATTATTAAGTAACTGCTTGGTTTTTATCAGAGTAAATAAATTAAAATAGCATTAAATTCACTTGGTGTTGTTTTACTTGTATCTTCCCATTGTTATTTGGGACTGCATATGTGCATCCTGTGTGGATTGCCTCGATATAGCATTAAGTCACAAGCTTTTTAAACAAAGATGGATAGTGGCTAGTAGTGGAATCCAGGACGCACGTTTCGTACTATTTGGGACTCGTCAGCTGGATGTACCTGCATCACAGAGTTGATATTCACTCTGGGAAGATACAAGTAAAATAATATCAAGTGAATTTAAACTTCACCTCACTGCACAAGCAAGTGGCTATCAGGACTCAGTAGCTAAGTGGATAACGCGATGGTGTTTGAAGCGAACGGTACTGGATTCGAGTCCCGGAGTGGACATCAACACGGGGATGCTGCTGCATCCAGCTGACGAGTCCCAAATAGGACGAAACGCGCGTCCTGAATTCCAGTGCTAGCTCCTATCTGTCTTTGCTTAGAATAACAATAATTGCACTGGACAATATTTTATGTGGGGGTTAATTGAAGGAAATAACTCTCATCCGAATCATATATATCTACTAGATGTAATGTATTATTTTAATATAATCAAGTTTATAGCCTGGAATTTATTCAGTTATTTTTCTGGATTTTAAAGCTATTATTTACATTATTGTATATCCAAATAAGCCAATGGAAGATATTTATATATATGTACATGTGTTGATCCAATTGATTCAGTGAATTAATTCAGTTACTTAGTATAATTGAGCATATATCAGTTAATCCCCAGTTGTTAAACATTCGACTTATAGGAATAACCCATTTGATTTATAGACATATGATAAAACTAATTTATTTCATTGAATCATTAACTGAGTGGTGGTGTCTTTTGACCTAAAGAAACGGCGCATATTGTTAAAATAATTATAAACCTCATATCCATCGATCTAATGCAGAAGAATAACAATCTAGAAAAAATGGAATAAAATTTAATAAACCAAATTATAAATGAGGGGAGAACAAATAGCTCAAAAATAATCAGGAGATGTACATAAGGCGATAGTTCGTTTTGATTATTGTTGCATGTTGATC